TAACCCTAGAATACTAATCATATTTTACAAACGTATATACTAATCATGAGTCATTTTGAACTAAAGTACGTTTTCAACATAGTAGAGCCATGCTGCAGCTATATTATGGTTGCAGTTGCAGCACGAGCGGGTCGGCTCGACCGGGTTAGGACCACGCTCTCACGGAATACCAGCGTAATATAGGACCTTAACCCTAGAATACTAATCATATTTTACAAACGTATATACTAATCATGAGTCATTTTGAACTAAAGCACGTTTTCAACATAGTAGAGCCATGCTGCAGCTATATTATGGTTGCAGTTGCAGCACGAGCGGGTCGGCTCGACCGGGTTAGGACCACGCTCTCACGGAATACCAGCGTAATATAGGACCTTAACCCTAGAATACTAATCATATTTTACAAACGTATATACTAATCATGAGTCATTTTGAACTAAAGTACGTTTTCAACATAGTAGAGCCATGCTGCAGCTATATTATGGTTGCAGTTGCAGCACGAGCGGGTCGGCTCGACCGGGTTAGGACCACGCTCTCACGGAATACCAGCGTAATTTAGGACCTTAACCCTAGAATACTAATCATATTTTACAAACGTATATACTAATCATGAGTCATTTTGAACTAAAGTACGTTTTCAACATAGTAGAGCCATGCTGCAGCTATATTATGGTTGCAGTTGCAGCACGAGCGGGTCGGCTCGACCGGGTTAGGACCACGCTCTCACGGAATACCAGCGTAATTTAGGACCTTAACCCTAGAATACTAATCATATTTTACAAACGTATATACTAATCATGAGTCATTTTGAACTAAAGCACGTTTTCAACATAGTAGAGCCATGCTGCAGCTATATTATGGTTGCAGTTGCAGCACGAGCGGGTCGGCTCGACCGGGTTAGGACCACGCTCTCACGGAATACCAGCGTAATATAGGACCTTAACCCTAGAATACTAATCATATTTTACAAACGTATATACTAATCATGAGTCATTTTGAACTAAAGTACGTTTTCAACATAGTAGAGCCATGCTGCAGCTATATTATGGTTGCAGTTGCAGCACGAGCGGGTCGGCTCGACCGGGTTAGGACCACGCTCTCACGGAATACCAGCGTAATTTAGGACCTTAACCCTAGAATACTAATCATATTTTACAAACGTATATACTAATCATGAGTCATTTTGAACTAAAGTACGTTTTCAACATAGTAGAGCCATGCTGCAGCTATATTATGGTTGCAGTTGCAGCACGAGCGGGTCGGCTCGACCGGGTTAGGACCACGCTCTCACGGAATACCAGCGTAATTTAGGACCTTAACCCTAGAATACTAATCATATTTTACAAACGTATATACTAATCATGAGTCATTTTGAACTAAAGCACGTTTTCAACATAGTAGAGCCATGCTGCAGCTATATTATGGTTGCAGTTGCAGCACGAGCGGGTCGGCTCGACCGGGTTAGGACCACGCTCTCACGGAATACCAGCGTAATATAGGACCTTAACCCTAGAATACTAATCATATTTTACAAACGTATATACTAATCATGAGTCATTTTGAACTAAAGTACGTTTTCAACATAGTAGAGCCATGCTGCAGCTATATTATGGTTGCAGTTGCAGCACGAGCGGGTCGGCTCGACCGGGTTAGGACCACGCTCTCACGGAATACCAGCGTAATTTAGGACCTTAACCCTAGAATACTAATCATATTTTACAAACGTATATACTAATCATGAGTCATTTTGAACTAAAGTACGTTTTCAACATAGTAGAGCCATGCTGCAGCTATATTATGGTTGCAGTTGCAGCACGAGCGGGTCGGCTCGACCGGGTTAGGACCACGCTCTCACGGAATACCAGCGTAATTTAGGACCTTAACCCTAGAATACTAATCATATTTTACAAACGTATATACTAATCATGAGTCATTTTGAACTAAAGTACGTTTTCAACATAGTAGAGCCATGCTGCAGCTATATTATGGTTGCAGTTGCAGCACGAGCGGGTCGGCTCGACCGGGTTAGGACCACGCTCTCACGGAATACCAGCGTAATTTAGGACCTTAACCCTAGAATACTAATCATATTTTACAAACGTATATACTAATCATGAGTCATTTTGAACTAAAGCACGTTTTCAACATAGTAGAGCCATGCTGCAGCTATATTATGGTTGCAGTTGCAGCACGAGCGGGTCGGCTCGACCGGGTTAGGACCACGCTCTCACGGAATACCAGCGTAATATAGGACCTTAACCCTAGAATACTAATCATATTTTACAAACGTATATACTAATCATGAGTCATTTTGAACTAAAGTACGTTTTCAACATAGTAGAGCCATGCTGCAGCTATATTATGGTTGCAGTTGCAGCACGAGCGGGTCGGCTCGACCGGGTTAGGACCACGCTCTCACGGAATACCAGCGTAATTTAGGACCTTAACCCTAGAATACTAATCATATTTTACAAACGTATATACTAATCATGAGTCATTTTGAACTAAAGTACGTTTTCAACATAGTAGAGCCATGCTGCAGCTATATTATGGTTGCAGTTGCAGCACGAGCGGGTCGGCTCGACCGGGTTAGGACCACGCTCTCACGGAATACCAGCGTAATTTAGGACCTTAACCCTAGAATACTAATCATATTTTACAAACGTATATACTAATCATGAGTCATTTTGAACTAAAGTACGTTTTCAACATAGTAGAGCCATGCTGCAGCTATATTATGGTTGCAGTTGCAGCACGAGCGGGTCGGCTCGACCGGGTTAGGACCACGCTCTCACGGAATACCAGCGTAATTTAGGACCTTAACCCTAGAATACTAATCATATTTTACAAACGTATATACTAATCATGAGTCATTTTGAACTAAAGTACGTTTTCAACATAGTAGAGCCATGCTGCAGCTATATTATGGTTGCAGTTGCAGCACGAGCGGGTCGGCTCGACCGGGTTAGGACCACGCTCTCACGGAATACCAGCGTAATATAGGACCTTAACCCTAGAATACTAATCATATTTTACAAACGTATATACTAATCATGAGTCATTTTGACTGCACATGAATGAGTACATAAATTGAACATCAAAACCAATTTTCTGTCTGTATTTTTATTTTATATAGGTATAAGCTATGTTTATGTAGGTATTAAATAAAAAAATGTTTATATATAAGAAAAAATTTATATAAAAAATAGTTTTACTCTCTTAATACTTTTTTTGAGATCACAATCATGAATCTGATTATTTAAAAAAAAAAAGAATAACATAAATGAAAAACCTTCTTCTTTTAAAATTAATTAAAATAAAATAAGAACGAATTAACGATATAAAAGAGAAATTATCCTAATTTGGCACAATTAACACATATTTCTATCTTATGTTCCCCGCATATGTTTTTTTGGCACTTCATACATCTGATTTTAGTCATGCGGTTCTTTTTGTAGGAGCAAAGTGAACATCTTTTCCTTTTTTTTTGCATCAGGTTCATCTTTTTGTTGGCTGCTGCCTTCCCCTATATTTGTAGGCACCAAATCCTGGATATTGTCTCTAAGCCATTTTGATAGGGTTGGAATAGAAAAACGTTTCTCGAGGAAAGGATTAACAAGTTGCATGTGCAACTCACGCATAAATGTTTTTCTATTTAGCGGCTTTTCTTTGGCACTGAGCTTATTTTCGCAGTATATTACGTAGCTGTTTACGAAAGCAATGTTAAGAATTCCATAAAAAAGGCACATAGGCCATCTCCTAGTCTTTCGGCTACAGCTCATATTTGAACACATTTGGTCTAGAGTGTCAACACCACCTTTCGTCTGATTATAAAATTCTACCATACTTGGCTTCTTTGTTCGTTCATTTACAGATCCTTCTTCAGAACACGATGATAATAAATGAATCACTTTGTTAGGTTTGGGCTTGTATGACAATAGTGTTAAAGGACCATCATAACAAAAAATTGAAGTACCAGTAGCTCTTGTTCTTGAGTTTTGCAATTCATTGGGTATCTCTCTTTTATTCGAACGCAAAGTACCCACTAAAGTTAGTTGGTATGGTTGAGAAAGAAGAGATTTAGCGAGCGGAATAGACGTGAACCAATTATCTGAAGTTACGTTTCTATTTGAACCATGTAAAGGTTGGGTTAACTGTTTCACAAAATATTCACCAAGAGGCAGTCCTCCGGTTTCGGTAGCTTTTCCTAAATAGGGGGTTGCATTTACCATGTATTTGGTGCCGGCATCACAAATCATTACAATTTTTATACCGTACTTCGCCGGTTTGTTGGGTATGTACATGCGGAAAGGGCATCGCCCTCTAAAAGCTAGTAATTGTTCGTCAATAGTTACATACATTCCAACATTATAATTTGTTTTACATTTCTCGATAAACAGATTCCATACTTTTTGAATAGGTACAAATCTGTCCCTATTTTGGGTAGATAATCTTAGAGACTTATTATCGAATCTAAGACATCGTATCAAGAATTCAAACCTATCTTTACTCATCGTGGTAACATATCTTGAACCAGAAAAAGATGCATCAAACTACTCATCGGTTGACAAATGATTGTCTTTGAAAGCAGCGGTTAAAACAAGAAGTCCAATTAATGCCCTAATTTCACATTTATCGGTTGTTTTCTGGGTGTTTCTAATGACTGAATAATTTTGCTGTTTTACTATAATCTCAGGATTTGTCCATTGTACAACTTCATCTATAATTTCGTCAGTAATAAACATTTTAAAACATTGCAAAGGATCATTTTCACGGCGACATTGCGAAGTTAGACCTCGTGATATTCGTACAATATTAGAACTAAGAGTTCTCAATGATTGAGGCTTTTTCGTAGACCAAACATGCCTGTCTTTCCCACGCAAAACCGTTTGCGGCAAGTAAATAATACATGTATCACGTGGAATGTCTGTGTTCTGGCTACTCGTAGATTCTTCGAGAGTAACAGGTGATTCTATTCTGGGTAAACTGGTAGATATTACCTCCATTGGCTCGTCGTCTTCATCAGTTTGTTCAGAATCCTCAACCTCCAAATAATCCTCAGTTTCACTCCCCTCAGTTTCTCCATCGCTATCACTAATGACAGCATCATAGTTCAGATATCTGGCCAATTCTGCGTCCGTGAAATTTCGACCACCGCTTGGACGTGACGAAGACATTTTTAATCTAAAAACAGATAAAAAAGTCAATAAAAACAGGCAATAACTCAAAACACCACTGTATGCTAAACTTCAAAAAGTTACACAAAGACTAATCATGAGTCATTTCGACTCTGAAGTACGTCGTATTTACAAAATGGAGACACTTACCTGCACAACGCTATCGCTCCCAAAAACGTCTTACCGACGACTGTGTTGACACAAAGAATCGTGACGATCCGCGCGTTCTTTAGAGAGAGATAGCAAGAAATATGTGCGGTGCGAGTCAAAATGACTCAGATTAGTATTCTAGGGTTAATGCTGTTGTGTTTCGTATGATGAGTGTAGAGAATCGGTGACCCTTTTTACTGGAAATGAGGCATTCAATCTTAGTCTTCACAGGTGACAACATTTGAGTATTAAAACACATCTGCTTTTTAATCGCTAATTGAGGATCACTGTAGACGTATATGGGCCACAGCATTCACTTACCATCAGGTGGACTGTGTGCTCATTTGTCACCTTTATTTAAATTAAAAAAAAACCCTTGGGATTTGAAAGCAAATAAAACAAATGTCAAATTTCACGAAAACTGGCGCCACGGCTTAGGGATTTCTTTCTTGGAAAAAGTTCTTCTTATACTGTACGTTTCCTATAAGAGACGGTAAAAGAACTATAATGTACTTTACTGTTATTATTATAAAGTATAAAATATGATGGCTCTAAATAACGTTTTTTAAATTACGGGCGGCAACCCTTATCGGGCCGCAAAACAAAGCGAGTTCGGCAATGGTTCGAAGCACTTACGACACGGTAATATTATCTATACAGTATTGTAACTCGGCCGTATCTTTGAAATAAATGCCTACAGCAGCGCGGTACGTAAACATGCAATAGGGCTGCCTGCCTTCAGCATTACATTTGCCTACTTTGTGTTTCCATTTAGTTTTATGATTGTAAATATACTTTTTTTATATAATCAAATATAATAGGTACTTTGAAAATTCAATAGGATATGTTCAATAAAAATGCGTATCGTTTTTGATTGGTAGATTTAATTAAAAAACCATGTTTGAATAATAAATCGGTCTTATGAATTTGCGACCGAAAAATATTTGCGCCTCAGCTGAGACGTACGAATTACTTTATTATTAAATTTTTAAGTATAAAAAATCCGCATTATAATATAAAGCTTAATTAAAAATTATTTTGGGAAACATGGACGAGGTGGAGAAAAGTAATATCTTTTACTTGGATAAAGAGGTATCTATAACCAAGTAAAAGATATTTTATAATTTATATGTTTGGTTTTAAATGAAGTTCGCATTTATTATTTCTTTATTTCTATTCTATTATTTATTTCCTACATTTTTTATATATATTCCACAAAATCATCACTGCGGCACAGTCACGACTGTCTGCATGCCGAGCGCATGCCGAGATCGAGGCGCGTAGGTATAGCTCTCGCTTCGTCCGTTTGTATGAAGTTGGAATACTGTATAGATAAAATTACCGTGCTTACGACTAATCGATTATCATAATACTTCTTAGAATTCATTGAGTTGAATGGTCAAAATAATACATATATATCTGTAGAAATTACGGAACCATTATCGAAAACTTTGTTTAAAGAATATAACTGCGTAAACAGGGTATTTTACACCATGATATCAAATATTTTTGATAGTTCTTGTAAAAAGTAAACGAACGAAAAATTTCAGTGGTTCATTATCATTTTAGGATTTATTTAAAACACTATTTGAAAATGGGTGTAATGCCCTATTGCCAAAAGAACTAATATATGTTATCGATATGTCGATACGTGGTTTTAATTGAACCATTTTACAGTTCTCTAGGTCAAATTAATCATAAGATATAATCTGTGGATAAAATTAAATTCAAAAATAGTTTCATAAAATTCACTGTTATGAGTGTAATAACTCATAAAAATTTTCCGTCTAATCTGAAATTCAATTGCCTCGCCTCTACAATACTTATCTATAACGTGATAATATTATATTACCATACAACTTTGTGTGTTTAAAATTATTTTAGTTATTGGTTTCCTTTACCGGTTGCTACTCGAAAACCTTTCTTCTCCATCGGTTCTCGGTTCGTCTGGCTATATGGCAGGCCCATTGCAACTTCAGCTTACAAATTCGTTGAGGTCGGTTAGGTACTCTGGTACTAATGCGGATATCCTCATTTTTAAGTATATCACGCAGATAAACCTCGAGCATAGCCCTAGTCATAGCTCGCAGGAAGAAGTTTTTCTCTCCATAGACGAAGTGTAGGGCATCCCCCTCATAGATGAAGAGACAACAAGACCTCGCGGTAAGACACGCAAGAAGTCGTTGGATGCAGGTGGCTCAGGACCGAGCTTTGTGGTGTTCAGCAGTGGATTTGTGAAGGGATGTAATGATCATATTGATGATGATGATGTTATATTGGTTATTATAATTAAGTCTGTTTTAAACATACCTGTCTGTAGCAAGCTCGGGCTAGACCAATACGGGCGCGTTGCCCTCCGCTCAAACTGATGCCTCGTTCACCCACCAATGTTGCGTCGCCAGTCGGCAGCAACTCAAAATCACGAAGTAATGCACATGCCGATACCACCTATTCACAAATACACATTGTCTATTAACTTACAATAATAATTATAAAAAACGATAATAACACATAATATAAACGTTTAAATAAACTATAGATATAATATAGAATATTAAATATAAAAACAGGTCGGAAAAAAAGTTTTTTCGTATTTTGTTTGTATAAAATCAAAGAAAAATCTCTTTGGTTGTACTGTTTGTATCTGGCTGGTTTTAATATCAATACATACATATATAGGGCATTTAGACAAGAAAAATTAAAATTAAAAAAAAACACTTTCCCGTCATTTTTCAATTGTTTTTTGTTCGCCAAAATGAGTGAATCTAACGAAGAAATTGGATATATTCTGAAGTTTTATTACAAAAAAGGAACAAATGCGACTCAAGCCGCGAAAAAAATTGCGACGTTAATAATGCATATAATGCAGTGTCAGTAAGAGTAGAACAAAGTTGATCCAAACGTTTTCAGTCTGGGTATTTTGATTTCATAGATGCCATTTTTTAAAAAGTAGAACAAGACAAGCATATCAGTAGTTACAACATAGTTGAGAAATTAAGGATTAACCACAAAACAGTTTTGACCCATTTGAAAAAGTCTGGCTTTATAAAAAAAGTTCGATATTTGGGTACCACACGAGCTCATTGAAAGATACCTAATGAGTGGTGTACTCACTTGCGATTCTCTATTTAAACGTAATGAAACTAAATAATTTTTGAAAATATAGATTTCTGGTTACTGGTGATGAAAAGTGGATCACTTACGACAAGAACATTCGAAAATGATCATGGTCAAAGGGTAGTCAAGCTACACAGACCAAACCCGGATTAACACGCAAAAAGTGATGCTGTGTGTATGGTGGGATTGGAAGGGCATTGTTTATTGTGAGCTTTTACCGCCGAGAAAAACCATCGATTCGGATCTCTACTGCAAACAACTAATACGACACAAGCATGAAATTAAGAAAAAACGGCCGGAATTGTTCAACAGAAAAGGAGTGGTCTTTCGTCTTGATAACGCTAGACCACACACATCTTTGGCCGGCCACTCAGCAAAAGTTGAGAGAGCTTGGTTGGGAAGTGTTAGGGCATCTACCTCATCATGATCTTGCACCCTCAGATTTTCACCTGTTTCGGTCTCTTCGGAATTCTTTGAGTAGTGTTAAGCTAACATCAAGAGAGGACTGTCAAAACTACTTGTCGCATTTTTTGATCAAAAACCCAAGATTTCTACAGCAACGGGATTATGTCATTACCTACAAGATGGCAACAAGTGATAATAGTGGCAAATATATATTATACGAGTAATTAAATGTAGTTAAACTTAGATAAAAAGAAATTTCTTGAATTTGTTTCAAGAATCTTTTTCCCCACCTATTAATCCTTTATTTAAAAAATCCTAACGTATTTTGCATAAGTAATCAACAAATTTTACTAACTATCAAAATTTTATATTTCTTGCCTTATGTAATAGATACACGTCAATAAAATGTTTCAATCCATGTTCGTTTATTTATCTTATTTAAGCCACAGATAATAGTTTTATCATAAAAATCTTAATCCAATTTAGTTTGATTTCTATCATTATGATAGAATGATAACATTATTTGACATAAATATTTATAAAGCTAATTGCAATACTTTTTATGGATTTCATAGAATAATGCCATAGTAGAAAGAGGGAAAGTAAGTTATCTTCATACAAACGCACTGCGCGCGGCTTGTATGTCTGCGCCATCTATGCGTCGCCGCACGCACACTTAAACAAAATCTCGACAGGTTAACCGTTTCTCAGTGCGCCAGTAAATGAATGAAAAATGTGTGATAATCGCAGAATAACATTTCGCTGTGTGTTTGGGTGTCTTAATAATTCATTTCGATTCTAGAATGAATCTGAATCTTGTATACATTTCTGTATTTGTTAGGAAAACGATTATTGAACTTTACTGACTAATGATCACTGAAAAAACAAAATTTGTAGTTATACAGAGATGTGACATCTTTGACAAGGGCCGGGCTTTCAACTAATGAATTAGTAGACACCTACTACTATCAGTAACCTACTGTTTACTCGTGCTCACCACCGCTTTGCGCCGCGCATCTGCTGGCCCGTCGCTCTTTCTTTCATCGTGAAAGGTTTCATAATCGTTTGGTAAAACCGACCTCACAAACCCTGTCCCCAGACAATACAAATAAAAAATACAACTTCCCGACCCTAGCCAATTTATAGGCACTGAACTGAATTAACTATTAGCTAAAAGTGACAACCTTGAGACAGTAGGCAATTAATATCGCGGATAGGGCCGGAGATAGCCTACTTCCCCTCTTTCTACTATTACATACACAATAGAATGGGTTAATGGATGTGCTCGTGTAACCACTAACATGTCAATTAACACCTATTAATGTCAACACATCTCTCTCTTGACGTTACAATCGCTGCCCAATTTTTGTGTCAAGTGCTGGTGGGTCCAATTTATTTCAACAATACCGAATTGTGCGATAATTACGTGTCTGAAAACAGTCGGATGTGGAATTTGGATAAAAGTTGTGCATCCTTTCACCAATAAGTCGAAACTATTTATATTTTGTGAATATTAGAAACAATAATAAAGAAATATTGATATATTTATATATACCTTTAAAGGAGCAATTCTTGTATGTGTATATAGATATAATCGGAATCTCGGAAACGGTTCCAACGATTTTCATAAAATTTAGTGTCCAGGGATTTTCGGGGGCAATAAATCGATCTAGCTAGGATTTATTTTCGGAAAACGTATATTTAAATAAATCTATTTAATTAATCTTTGAAGCCATGGTATTTAAAGTTGGGCGTTATAACATACAACAGATAATATATTTCATTATATATTTGTAATCTTACAACACATTAGAATAATGAACCATTGACTGTTATAATATATTCATTTTTAAGTAAGAATAATTATGTGGCTTAAGTATGAAGTACATAAAACAAAACGGGGTGGTTATTAATTTAAAATCAACCAGCCGCAGCCAGCCTAGTCAATACAAAATAATGTCATTATTACCTTTTTGTAACGCACGCGATCGTAGGGTAGTCCAAATAGAATATTCTGACGCACGGTAGCAACGAACAGCCACGGCTCCTGGCTGGCGTACGATATTCGCGCACCGCCTAAAGAGACGGTCCCGTGCGATGGTTCTAACTCACCCAGAATTAGTTGCAATAGGCTTGACTGCAAAAACAAAGGATTGAAATGTTGATGCAGATAATCACTAAAATTAATAGACTTTGATGTAAAATAAGAAATAGTTTTGACTGTTCTCCCCAAAATTATGTACTTTCTAAAAAAATCGTTATCTTTCGTATAAATAAAAGTTCATTCAGGATTTATTCTTATAATGCCAACCTTTCCTGATCCAACAAGTCCGGCGACACCTACAAACTCTCCGGGTTTTACATTCAACGTTATATTTCTCAAAGTCTCTACGATATGGTTCGGCGACCAACTGGCACTAATGTTGGTCAGTGTCAATCCTGTTGGATTTGGTTTGTCCTTCTCCGATTGTTTTTCTTTACCCACGCCATTAGTAATAGGGTCTTTAGAATTAGAGGAAAGTTCCTTAGCTTTAAATGATTTTAGTTCATCCAAAAAGAGGAATTCCTGGAAAAGAAAGGAAAGAAATCTATAGCTAGTTTTCAAAAGTATTATAATATATTTATTTATAGACGGTTGTTTAAAATACCTCTAATCTTCGCACGGAGACCAATGATTCCGCCAAATTTGCTAGAGCCATTGGGAAACATATGTTGCAGGCAAGTTGCAAAAGATTGAAGTATTGCGCTAGAGAAAACGTTATTTCGGCTCGTATATTACCACCCAACAAGACGAATGCTACGATTGCCGCGAATAGGATGAAGCGCTCCGTGAACACGCTCAAAGCAGTCGAGAAGCCTTTAATAAAAGAAGTCTTCAAGATGTATCTCACTTCCCACCTGTTAACAAACATTGTTATGTTATGTTACAGTTTAATTAAACGGCGTGTTGAATTAATCCATCGATTAAACCCTCTCGAAATATCGATGGTTAATTATTGCTCTATTAGTTAAACTTTAATTAATAGAACACAAGTCGTTATGATAGTATATTGAAGTCCTGAAGTGTTAGTACAGTAGTAATACGATATATCCGAGTACAGAACCAGAGTACGAAATCTATCCAACTGCGCTGCTAAGACAGGGTGATGTTATATCCCCGAAACTCTTCACCGCTGCATTGGAAGACGTTTTCAAGCTACTGGACAGGAAAGGATACGGTATTAATATTAATAGCGATTACATTACTCACCTTCTATTTGCCGACGATATAGTCCTTATGACAGAATCGCTGGAGGACCTAAGCACTATACTCAATGACCTCAATAGTGCCTGCCAGCGGATACGCCTTAAGATGGACATGAACAAAGCAAAGATCATGGGTAATTTCCATAACACACCTACGCCGCTAGTTGTTGGGAGCACCTAAGCTTGAAGTTGTTGACGAGTACGTTTACCTGGGACAAATAGTCCGACTAGGTAAGTCCAACTTCGGCCGAGAGGTCAATAGACGAAGTCGATTCGGCTGGGCAGCGTTTGGGAAATTACGACCTATACCCCAGCTATACCTCTAAACCTGAAAACGAGTTTGTACAACCAATGCGTGTTGCCAGTGATGACTTAGGGAACTGAGACGTGGTCCTTCACTGTTGGCCGTATGAGGACGCTCAAGGTTGCTCAGCGAGCTATAGAGAGAGCTATGTTCGGCGTATCTTTGCGTAATAAAACCAGAGTGACTGACATACCCCAACGAATTAGTAAGCTAAAATGGCAATGGGCCGGCCTTATAGCTCGAGGAACCCACAACCGATGGGGAAATTAGGTTCTCGAGTGGCAGCCTCATACCGTTAGGCGAAATGAGGACGACCCCTCACTAGACTGAGTGGCGACCTGGTAAGACATGCAGGTAGTTGATGGATGCAGGTGGCTCAGAACCGTTCTTTGTGGCATTCCTTGGGTGAGGCCTATGTTCAGCAGTGGACTTGTGAAGGGCTGTAACGCGGAATATACTATTCGTTGCTAGTCTAATTTAGTCTTATTTAACTAATTTGTATCAATGATTTAATTCTTTAAAGAATTTATATTCATACTGCATAACTGCACATACCTTCTCAGTTTATCCACCAACTTCTCAAAAGGTTTCTCCCAAGCGTACATCTTTATGACTTGGACTCCGTTTACGAGTTCACTCATCACTTTAACTCTTTCATCAGTTCGTGTAGCAATCTTGCCTCTGAATTTGCCTTGAAGGTTACTTAGGTATGCTGAAAAGGATAATATTATTATTACGATATTATTTTTAACGTAAGTTTTAAAATGAGATTCGAATTTAATCCACGGAAGCTAAAAACTTCCAATTAAATAACTTTATATAATATACTAATACACTAAGAATATACACTGCTGAACATAGGCCTCCTCCAAGGGATGCTACACAGCACCATCTTAAGTTACCTGTTTTCACCGGTACTATGCGTGTATTACTAGGTCATCATTATATTATTTGAGGGTCGCCCTAGACTTCGCATACCAGTACGAGGCTTCCACTCGAGAACCTCTCTTCCCCATCGGTAGTGAGTTTTTCGAGCCGGCCCGTTGCCACTGCAGCTACTGATCCGTTCGACTATACCAATTACTCTGGTAGACTGCAGAGAGTAAATATCACTCCTACGAGCTCGAGACTCTAGCAGTCGTGAACTCTATCAAGCATTTCAGGCAATACCTTTACGGTAGTGACAGATTGTAACTTGTTGGTCTTCTCAAACCAAGCACGATTTAACTCCCCGAGCGCACAGATGGTGGGCTTTTCTCCAGTCCTTTGATTTCGAAGTATTGTACAGAGAAGGCAAACGAATGTCCCACCGTAGATTTCTTTTCCCGCAACCCACTCACATCGGATCTAAGGTTATCGATACCCCATGTTGAACAAAAGCGTGTCGGTATAACTAACCTCTCTTCGAACTGGCTTTTAGCTGAGCAACAACGTGATAAAGAAATTTGAAGATTGTAAGCGACTTAGAAAGCGGCCAGATGGATCAACAATTAGCTAAAACCTATGTACTACGCTCAGGTATACTTCATCGTAATGTTCAACGTAACGGTAGGTTGAAATGCTTGCCCTGCTTACCACACGCGTTGCGATGGTCTGTCATTAATAACTTCCACGATTCTCTCATTCGTCGAAAAGACTCGTGAAAAGCTCTTTGACTTTTATTGGTTTCCGGGAATGTCTCAGAATGTAAGGAAATTCGTTGATAGCTGCGTAACATGTAAAGTCGCGAAGCTTCATTCCGGAAAGGCTCAAGCTGAGCTTCACTCAATTCCGAAAACTTGGTAGAATTTATGATACCGTCGCAAGAACAAGAAACAATGAATATCAACAAAGGACATCGCATCGGTTTAGTACGTGGGCCGTGTTGGCATATCGTTCCAGTTCTTGCGTATTAAGTTTTACAAATCTAAATCTTATGCCTAATGAGCTAAAGATCATTTGAAATTTTATAACTCTCACAACTACACAAACTTAAAATTTAGGCAATTTTAACTATTTAAAATTCGACCTTATTGCTTATTTGCTTTAGGTATATATTATATTTCGCAATGTGCACCGTTGTGTGATAACTACCAAAACATCGCAACGATATCCATATTCGCTTTATCTCTTTCTATACTTATTTAAACTATCGTTGCAAGAACGAGAAGCGACGAATATAAACGAAGGTCATCGGTTAGTTTGCCGTTTTCCGTTTTGGGAGATCGTTCCACAGTTTGCGTTATGCGTTTCGGTTTCGTTTTCGTACGTTAGTTAGGTATATAGTTTTGGTTGAGTATGTGATAACGGTTTTGTACTTAGGTTTATCGATATGATATGATATTTGATAACATAACGTTATTAGTTACGTTTTGATATATCGGTCTCATGCCTAGCACAGCACACACATTATTGTGGGCTGTCTTTGAGTGAAGTTGTCTAGAAACTCTCCCGCGTTCCGTATAGTTTGTACATAGAGTTACGTTGTGATTTATGTTAGTAATTATTTAAGTGATTTTTACCTAGAATCACATTGTTGTTAATTATCGTGACGGCTTTTTATCATTTTAATCCAACACCTCCCGTAGTACGCCCACGAGTCGTCCGATTCCGATCAGGTACCTCGCCGCGTTCGGTCGCCTGCAACCCAACCGTGAAGTGCAGTTGTTCGGTCGAGCCCATGCGCTCCCAGTGCGTTGTTCTCAAGTAGGAAGAAAGAAGACAAAAACATTTTACCTGTCCGCGCGAGTGCTCAGTGTCGTTGTGCTCCTTTACGGCCGCCAGGTACATCGGGCCGCCGGCCCATTGTTCTGTTGGCCCATTGTTCTATTGTGTGCAGTGCTAGTTTTAGTGCCCCACGTTCTCCGGATTTCCAGTAAAAACTGTAAGTAGTTTATTGCACACCCGCTGCCTCAGAGGCAGCAATTCTATTGTTTAATTTCTGTGTTCGCTTGTCGCGTTAGGCGACAGCTAGGTACACAGCCCAGCGTATCAACGCGCTAGTTGTATAAGTGTTCGTTTAGGCACACACCTCCCCCGCCGAAAGGTGGGGGGGGGGGCTTGATACACAAGTGTTTTCTAACCACTGACAAGATGACGGCTATTACTATAGCCGAACTCGCCGACTTCTTCGGTCAAGTGTGCCCCAACGCTTGGACGTCCCGTTGTACGTATCGACGACCCTATGTCGCCGAGCCCCGGGCCCTCGACCCCTGTGTCCATAGACACAGTTTACGACGCCGCGTCCCCCGCGCCTTCTGCGCTCTCCACCCGCGGTCCTTCTCCGTTGTTTTCGGACGCCGAATCAGGCTCCGAGATGGAAACTGACGTCCACCGACCCGAAAAACCCGATGACGAAGGCTTCTCCCTAGTCTTGGGTAAAAAGCGCAAGCGCCCCGCCGCGAAAAAGGGAGACAAGCCTCACTCGGCCCCTACGTCGCCCAACGCCACTCCGGCAAAAAAAAGTCGCGCCTTCCGCGCGCAAAATGACCGCGATCAAAACCGCGAACCCGACTCAGGCCGTACCTAGGAAGGAGAAGCCGCCGCGCCCTATAATCTTACAGGACAAATCGCGCTGGAGCAACCTATCCAAGTGGATAGACTCCAAAAAGATATTCTGCCCCAAAGTCCACAATGGACCGCAGTGCATTCGTATCCACGTCGCAACGACGGACGATTTCCGCGCTTCTAAAAGCTCAAAACTTGAGTTTTCACACCTACTCCATCGCGGAGGACCGTAACCTCCGTGTAGTAGTTCGCAGATTCCCTAAGGAGCTAGAAACCGACCACATATTAAGCGATCTTAAATCACAAAATCTGCCTGTTAGAGAAGTGCACAGGATGCACCATCCAACCGACAAAAAACGTTACCTTGATCTTTGTCTAGTAATACTGGACCTGTCTCCAGAGGACAAAGAGATATTTAACATCTCACGGATATGCAATCTCACAGGGATTGTTGTAGAGTCCCCGCGTAATAGGGGCATCGTTGGCCAATGCCACCGATGCCAATTATACGGCCACTCGGCCAGGAATTATTTCGCCCGGCCTAGGTGCGTTAAGTACCTAGGCGACCATGGCACTACCGAATGCCCCCGAACGCCCGAGACGGAGGGCCCTCCAAGCTGAGTTCTATGCGGTGAAGAGGGACATCCAGCGAGCTATCGCGGGTGTTCCAAAGCGCCGCGTAGGAAGCACAATGGAAGAGCAATCCGACGCGGACGTGCGGGTAACTCCAGTAGGTCGCGCCCACGGCATTCTGCCCCATCGATTGCACTAACCTCGGTGCCGTAACCCGCGCCCACTCAGGCTACAGCCAAGCCCGCCCCCGTTAAAGGGACTTCCGGGCAAGGCCCAAGCCTTCCAGTGCCTTCAGAACCTAAGCCCAACGCATGGGTTAAGCCCCCGGCGATTGTTAGTGCGGCCGCCTCACGGCCAATGCCTCCTCGCCAGGCCCATAAGCCCAAACCCGCCCCTCAGGCACCGTCAAACATCGACACTGATCTTTCGTTAGTGTTCAACTTCGCCAGCAATATTAACGTGGCCGAAGTCACAACCTTAGCCCGCAAACTTCGCGAAGCCAAGTTCATTCAAGATAGGCTCAATGCTACCATTGAATATATCAGTCTTATCCAAGCGGTAGGTTCGTTCCAGTGCGCCTAAGCCAATTTTTTCTTTTATAACCAAAATGGAAATACGACCTATTGGTAGAACCAAGCCTGTCTGTCGCGTATTTTAACGCAAACGGTATCAGAGATCAAAAGGAAGAGATCATGTATTTTTTACGCGACCATGATATCGACATCATGCTAGTGCAAGAGACCTTCTTGAAACCTAGTGTGAGCAATCCCAAAATAGCCAATTATACCCTAGTAAGAAATGATAGGCTGACCGGACCTAAAGGCGGCACCTTGATCTACTACAAAGGGTCCTTGCAATGTGTACCGATAGATACTCCGCCGCTTACTAACTTAGAAGCGTCGGTGTGTAGCTCAGATCATATAAACAACAGGAGATATGCCCGGTAGTTAAAATGTATCGGAACCCGGTGTCTCCAGTTTGCCCCCGCCACTCGCCAACTACTACACATGCAGTTCATTAAATTGATAGGTACGCAGTAGCGCACACACACGCATTCACATCTCTAACTCACAAAAGCCGGCAGGGGCTGCTTCACGAAACTATCGTGTGAGTGAGAGTATCAGTAAAACACTTATCCATTGCGCTATTAGACCAGCTAATTCACAGGTTGATTTGTACTAAGCAAGCAATGGTTTTTGTTCCTAATGAAAACATTTGATTTGGTTTTTCATCGTGTTTCTGGTACCACGAAGTAATGTTTTAATAAATTGAATAAGAAAAACATCAATATTTTAGTACTTACGTGTGAAATGAGATGCCATCTTTCATGTAATTCACAATACAGCTGTTATTTTTGCAAACAATCACCGGCATTTTGTCAAAAATCACGAGCAGTGGAGACGTCACAAGTTGACATTCGATTAATTACCGAAACTGGCATCAGGCCGCTTTGCGGCCAGATGCGTTCGCAAGTGCCACGCCTCCTTGCCATATCTCCTGTTGTTTATATGATCTGAGGTGTGTAGGATAGCACTTACTGGCCATCCGCCAATAATAATTGCATCAGCATACCTGTCTCCCTTAAGAAGTATATTAGATATCGGCTCTATTAAACCTAGGCCCTAGCGTATTAATCGCAGGAGACCTAAATAGTAAACACGTTAGCTGGAATTCTAACGTTAACAATCCTAACGGAATAATTCTAAGAGACCTCACGGAGAGACTTAACTTCGATGTTATCGCTCCCGAGAGTCCAACACGCTATCCTTTTGCAGATAACCAACATCCGGACGTTCTTGATATAGCATTGCTAAAAGACATCCGACTTAGTATTAATTCGATAGATACTATTATCGAGCTAGTCTCAGACCACAGGCCGGTCGTTTTACAACTGGGCCGGCCGGCAGGTGAGGTCCCTCAGACCAAAACTATTGTCGACTGGCGTAAACTTGAGGTCAAACTTAAGTCTACGAACTCCCAGCATTTGGACACTATACCTGACAAGATGGACTCGCTGTAGGAGGCCGATAGGGCGATTAGCGCCCTTTCGACTCACCTCACATCAGCGGTCGAAGAATGCTCCCGTAAGGTTCGTGTGTCGAGCGATCAATACACGAAACTTCCGGCGGATGTTCGACGGCTGATTAGAGCGAAGAATTCCGCGCTTAAAACTTACGACCGCTAGCGCACGGAAACCAATAAACTTCGGGTACGTTCTCTACAAAACTTAAACAACGAGTAGCCGAGTTTAGAAACGATAGCTGGGATAACCTCTTAGAAGGTATCGAACCATCTCAAGACGCCTTCTGGAAACTAACGAGAGCTCTTAAAGCCGACAAATCTGCACCGATGCCGCCTCTCGTGAGGCTGGACCACCCCAAACTCGCCCTAGACGATCCCGAAAAAAGCCGAATGCCTAGCCGACAGTCTAGAGTACCAGTGCACGCCATCCACTGCACCAATAGATCCCGCTCACCTACTAGAGGTAGTAACGGAAGTAGAACGTAGGTCTGCGCTGCCATCAGCGGGTGAACCCCTCGATCCTGTGACAATAGATGAAGTCACAGAAACCATCAAAAGTCTTAAGAATAGATCGGCCCCTGGGTCAGACGGCATCAGCAACAAGGTGATCAAATCCCTTTCGGCGCCACTTATTTGCCTCCTTGTAGGAATATTTAACACCTTTCTCACGAACTACTCCTTCCCGGACATCTGGAAAGAAGCAGACGTAATAGGGATCCCAAAACCGGGTAAACCGCGTAATGGTCCCTCTAGCTACAGACCCATTAGCCTGCTCAACACATTGGGCAAACTATACGAGCGCATCATTCATAAGCGTCTCTGTCATTACACCGAATCTAACGGTCTCCTCCCAGACGAACAGTTTGGCTTTAGAGCCAATCACTCATGCACCCACCAGATTAATCGCCTAACAGAATACATTCTGTCTGGCTTCAACCAAAACCCGATAAGGAACAAGGCTCGAAACACGGGAGCCCTCTTCTTCGATGTCGCGAAGGCATTTGACAACGTCTGGCACGACGGCTTGATTTACAAGCTGTACCAACTAAACGTGCCTGATAGGCTCGTGCACATCATACGAGCCTTCCTTTCGAATCGCACTTTTCGTTATCGAGTGGAGGGAACCCGTTCTTCGAAACGCTTCCTCAAGGCCGGGGTCCCTCAGGGCTCCGTCATATCTCCTCTCCTCTTCACACTCTACACGAGTGATATCCCCAAAGTCCCGGTGGTGAACACTGCACTCTTCGCCGACGATACGGCACTTTATGTGTCAGACCACAACAAAAATAGACTTTCATTACAGCTCCAAAAAGCCACCAATCTCCTAGGTGAATGGTTTCGCCAATGGAGAATAGACGTGAATCCCGAAAAGAGATTAGCAATATACTTTCAACGGAATGCATCAGCAGGTTTTGGTTTAAAACCTGGTCGTATACAACTCCCAATCCCTTGGGAAAAATCGGCCAAATACCTAGGCATCACGTTCGACTCCCGCATGAGTTTCGCGACGCACATAAGTGTAGTACGCAACAGAGCCAAGTCAATAATTGGCCGTCTACACCCGCTCGTTAACAGCAAGAGTAAGCTGTCGCTAAGACACAAGCTCCGGCTGTACAAAACCTGCATTAGACCAGTTATGTCCTATTCAAGTGTAGCTTTCGCCCACACATATAAGACCCATATTTTAAAACTCCAAAGAGTAAAAACTTTTTCATCCGAAAAGCCACCGGTGCACGGTGGTATCAACGGAACTCTGCTTTACACAATGATTGTGTATTACCATCTATCTCCGAATATTTTAAGGAGATGTCCCAGCGCTACTTCGATAAAGTAGAAACCCACCCTAACCCGCTTGTGACAAACGCAGCTAACTACGTTCCGATAACAAACGTCGCGCCCTATCTCCGCAGACCGCGAAACGTTTTAATAGAACCACCTCAACCGCTCGATCCAGTCGACCCAAACGTCGCAGGCACATCACACAACGACACTACACCCACACTAAATGGGACAAACATTATTAGGACAACGAATGGGACGCGTCGCACCCGCAGACGGGCACGACGCGTTCCAGCTCACACCGCGTACACACCGTACACCCGCGTTCCTGGACGGTTCTCACCGCCCAGACCATCGACCGATACGAGCTGAGCAGTCAGAGACGGGGGTCCGCACTCCCTCCTCGGACTGCGGTTAGATAGCTCAAAGAAAAACGCCTTAAAGGCGACATGATGATTGGTAACAATATCAAATCATAAACCATCTCATCATCACCCTCATCGCATTGCCTTTCCCTTTTTTTAATTAGCCCTGAGACAAGATGAAGCTGTAAGAGTCGCATAGACTAACAGCACTAACATCTAGATAATAGTAGTAGTACGCCCACGAGAAAAATAAATTACTCTGTCGGATGATAACGAGGGTAATTTACCGACTCCGTTATACTCATATTTTTTTTATATGTCACTACTACGCTACGGCCCGACTCCGTTACCCTAGAATTGTACCGAAAATGGTAAGTCTATATCTAGCAACCCTAATCATCTCGCGTAATGTCATCTCCAAAGATTACTACTTTCCTTTTGGTCGCGGTCAACGTACTTTAGGTACAATATTATTTTTGACGATGAAGAACAGACATTTAGATGCATAGTAGCCACCGCTATTTGTCTAAAATTGTGCTAGTTATTATGTGCTGAGCACAGTTATTATTGCATATCCAGTAAAAGCCGTGTCTAGAATTAAATGATGAGTAATATGATAGCGAAGTCGAATTATTATACCTTGAACCACAACAGTCTGCAAAAATATAACGGCAAGCGCTGCTAGTGTCGCCAGGCCAACGTGCTGCCACACGAGATACGATACTACTGGTACCACGATCGGCATAATCCATAAATAGTGCAAAAATAAAGATGCTATATCAAAGCGGTTAACATCGTTCGACATTAAATTTATCACCTGTCCCGGCTCAGTTTTACCCAGACCAGAACAATTGAGTTTCAATATCTGCAATAAAAAAATAAAGTTGTTCTGTACTCAAAAATAAATTTAAAATTGTGTAACATATTTTTTATGATCTCGCCTATGAACTAACCTTTCTATACAGTAAAGAGCAGCAAGCAATCCTTACTCTCATACCAACGCAACTTTGAGCTAATTGTGTATGATTCAACATAAGGGATGTTGAAATGCTTAAGAAATTCATAAGAAAATTATAAATATGAGCATTTCTGTAATTTTCTGCAGTCTTTTCATCGGAAAAATATCTAATAAATAATGCCAGCGTGAAAGGAATTAACGGCCTGAAACAAGTATGAAATTTTTATTTAACTAAATTGATTATTGAACTTTATATAGTGTTAAGGCGTTTAAATACATAATGAAACCTATACAGAAATATTAGATTAGAATCACTATTTTTCATTCTAAGTAAATAACAAAAGTTTTATAAAAATTAAACGAGCATATTATAAACGACACTCAAACTACTTCTATTCTCAATTAAAATTAATTTAAATCAGGCTCACCATAAAATAATAAATAATATTCCAGTCAACAATCCACATAACATATATTCAAGCCAAAAGGACCTTATTATAGCTTTCGTAAGTGAAGGTTTTGAGTCTTTGCGACGAGCGTTATCAAGTTCTTTTTGCCACGCCTCTTCCAAGCGATCGCCGAGTCGCCCTGAGTGATCGCCATCACGCGCTTGAAACAGATCTTCTATGGTAAGACCTTGCTTATATCCTTTACGAAAGAGACCAAAACTCCACCTATAAAAGTAGACAATAATATATACAATTTAAAGTTTTATCCTTAGTATAATTTACTAAATTTTTATCATTTAGTAACCTCATATAGTACTGGGGGCGTCATAAGAGGCGACAGAGGGATGCTGCAACGGAAGATGGACCGCAGCGATTTTCTTATAACAGATGGAACCAAAACAAATGTGGTTGCCAAACCGCCCGCCAAACGTGGCAACCATGGCAAATATCGCCATTATGTAATAACTAATAACCTACGAGGGCTGTAACGGCAAGTTTTATCCTTTTTTTATTCTTAGAAAAAAGGGCTTTGTCACCACGGAGCAAATTTGTCACTGATGCAATTATGACGCTCAACAAAATTCTTAAATAGGATAAATAACACATAAACTTATTAATTTTTTTTTTGCTTGTTCTAGTGTAACTTGTGTCCAGCTTTATGCTCAAAAATTCACCGTAGCTCTTTGTTGCCTAATTCACTAAATACTTAGTATTTGCCGAAGACATCATTTGTATTCTTTATTTAAATTAACAATTAACTTACTTATCTTCACGCACAATCCCTAACGGGGTAGCCAGAGTGAACAGATCGCCAAGTGTCACGATCCTTACATACCTCTTTCGCTTCTTTCAGGTTCATTAACTTCTTCATACATGCACGTCTAGGTATCCGAGTACTCTTGACCCTCCCCTCTTCGAGCAATTTGCTCACATGGTCTTCGAAAGTTAGTCTCGGTCTACCTCGACACCTTTTATTACTTTCGCTCTATATATTTTCTTCACCATTCGGTTTTCACTCATTCGTTCAACGTGCCCAAACCATTGGAGTACGCCCCTATCAATTTTTGTGATAAGGTCATCTTTCAATCCTGCCATATTGCGAATCTCTTCGTTTCGCTTTCGGTCGGCTATGGTAACGCCACACATTTTACGAAGAGATCGCATCTCCACTGCATTCAACTTGCTTTTATGCTTCTTCTGGCATACCCAGGTTTCGCTGCCATATAACAAAGTCGGTACCAACACTGCGTTATGTATTGCAAGGCGTGCACTCTTCACCACGCCTTGCCTTTTTACTAATGCATTCAGGGCACCAAGGTCTCCGTTTGAATGCTAATAAAACTAAGGTTCTGGTATTTGAAAAGGACGAAGAGAGAACGAAATGTGAAATATGGGTAAATCAGGAATGTCTAGAACAGGTAAATGAAATTGTATACTTGGGGAGTGCTTTCAGCCGGGATGGAAGATGTGATTTACATGTGGATAGACGTGTCGCCGCCGGAAACAAAGTTAAATTAACAATTAACACACTGATAATATTATTTTCTTCCTTGGAATTCAACTATATTATTTTTTGGTAATTAACTACAGAGCTTATGTTTATACACTGGAAACGCCATCTGAACTGACTTATATGAAATAGTGTGGCCCACTAGCTGTAGGTTGAACGGCTTTGCATTTTACGTTACGAAAATCGGTTATCATAAAAAATTGTAAGTGGGTAAGCCATATTAATTACAACCTGTACCCTATATCTATTTCTGAATGCACTTTAATGGACCTTTAATTAATTAATGTGACACGAAATGTGAAATCTAATCACGATACGAGAACCTAGTGTGTAACATATCGGAATCATGATTATTATGTTTTTTCAAATACAAAAAAATAGGTTGATCCTGCTGGCCATACCTGAAACTTCCCGCTAATTTCAATATTAATGCGCTACAAATTCCACTGTCCAATCTGTTTTTGAGCTTAGTCACAATTTTGGAAAACTACGTTTTTAATTTTTTTCACAATTGAATATTTCACGAAGCAATCAACCAATTTTGATGTGATTTACGGCAATCGACGTAATTTTTTCAGTTTAAGAAAAAAAGTTTATTACAAAAAATTGATTTCAAGGGAAGTTTTCTAGTATTTTGAAAAAAAAAAAAAGAAAAACACTTTTTCTAGATTTCTTTTGTCAACGATATCTCTTGAACAAAGCAACTGATTTTGATGCGGTTTATAGTAATTGACGTCGTTTTTATTGGGTAGAAGAGTTGATTAGATTATAGAATTGATCAAAAAAAGAGTGTCGTAGTCATTCCAAGGAAACTACTTTTTGAAAATCAAAGATACAACACAAAATTATTAGTCATGATTACATCATTACTAGGATGCTTAAACTCTGCGCTATTCACTTATATCGATTAATTACGATCACACTCGCGCGCGCGCACACACACGCACACACACACGCACACACACACACACACACACACACACACACACACACACACACACACACACACACACACACAGCCGCACGCTCGCACGCACGCAGGCACGCACGCACGCACGCACGCACGCACGCACGCACGCACACACGCACACGCACACGCACACGCACACGCTCACTCATGCACGCAAGCTCGCACGGACACGCATCAAAATGATCCTCACAACAAACAGAATGCGGTAGTTTTTCTTCCAATAGAATCTGCTGTCTTCAAAACGATCGTTCACATTTTTCTGATACTTTAGCCAAATATCTAAAGTAGGTATGGGACCATAAAAAACAATTTATTTAGTGGTTTTTGGTCGTATTATACCACTCGGGGACGACCAGTGGCGTAGCTACTTTGGGGCTAGGCGGGGCAATGCCTCGGGGTCCCCAAGCTCAAAGGGCCCCTCAGCCTCCATGACGACGACGTTCGAACAAATTATACATGTTATCCTAGTTGAATAAAAAAAATTCTTGGTTCCTGAACAACAAACTATGAATGGCTAGAACTGAAATCACAAAATTTTCTCAAACTTCCAGAACATAAGCATCATTGTTAAAATAAAATCACCTACATACTTCGTTTTATTGTCTAAGTAATATTATTAGCTGTAATCTACTTTGTCATTGTTTATTTTTACCAGCTTTCGCCCGCGACTTCATTCGTGACCAGCGATAGTTGTGGGACTAAAAGAAGAAAAAAGAAAAAGTAAAAGTAAAGAGAAGTGTACTAGTAAAAGTGCATCAGTATCGCATTTCAGATAAAAAGAAATGTACAGTTCACACAGGCATATACGACAGGTATCTAGATCAGGACCAATAGGGAGCCCGTCATCTTAGTCGCCCACCCTTTCTTTTAAGATTTCATATTTATTTTGGTACTGATTTTACTTTGGTATTGATTTTTAATGTCAAAGTTTTATTATTACTGGCAGTTATTACAAATTATGTCTTTATATACAATGTTTACAGCTGACTTTTCATTAAACAATATAAACAGATTTTGTCCGAAATTGACACCCAAAAGGCACGGTAATTTTATCTATACAGTAACAGTATTGTAACTCGGCCGTATCTTTGAAATAAATGCTAGTGATGTAACAGAACTCTCTTTCTATTTCCGCAACTGCGGAAGTTCTGCATGGTTTTTGATATCCGTTTCTGCTTCCGTTTCCGCAAGTTTTATAACGGAAGTTTAAACAGAACTCAGTGACATAAAGCCAAAACAGAGTCCTGTTTGGAACTATTATGTTGAGATTGATGATTTAGCAGCCAGATGTAAATTATGTGACAAAATATACCCGCGAAAAGAATGCACAACTACCGCTTTAAAGAGCCATCTTAAAGCGATACACGCTGAAGAGTTTCAAGTAAAAATTATCAAACGCTAGAAGCGTATTTTCAGGCAAGTCAAGCGAGAGTTTATTCACGACATTATATCCCAGACCTTCTTCTTCTATGCTGTCACATTTACCGGTGTACACTTCAAATTTATAAAGGTAGCCCGTTTTTGCATCACAACGTGCCCAAACCTTAAACCCACGTTTGATTGCTTTCTTTGGCATATACTGCTTAAGGCTTGATCGGCCTTTAAATTTAACCATGCATTCATCGATTGATTGCTGGCTCGAATTATACATCTATTCTGAATTTTTTTTATTAAGTTCAGTTATCATCGGCCTCAACTTGAAAAGTTTATCGTAATTAGGCGCGTCTCTTCTTGGCCCCACTTCGTTATTATTTATATGGAGATTTTCAGTGATTTTCTTAAATCTTTTAATGGTCATGACTTGCGAAATCTCTTTATTGTTGTAGAATGGGTCATTAGACCAATATAATTCCATATCAGGCAACGGGTTTAGGCCCATCATAATTAATATACCAAGATAAGCCTTAATTTCTTCTCCGGAAACTGGTGTATACTGATGGCTGTTTTTCTGTCTTGCATATGTATTGGTCTGATGTACTAGAATTTCTACTAAGTAGTCCGGAAAAAAGTTTTCAAAGACATCGATAGGGCGTGTTTTTTGATTAAAAACCGATGCTGGTATGATTGGATTTGTGAATTCTGGTACATTATGTATTTCTTCATCCATTTCCTACATTCGTGAGGGTCTTGATATAGCTGCATTAATAGTTCTGCTTCTGTTTGGTCCTAAGTGGCCCTGATTATGAGTCACAGTATCATTACCTATTGATTATTCCGGATTTGCAGCGTGTCGTGGAATAGAATAAATTGGAGATCCTCCACAAATCTCATCTAAACATTCTTGAATTTCAATGTCTCTTTCGCTGACATATTGTCTCCATTCTTCCTTTGTCTCCATGTGTTCATTAGTAACCTGTATTGGTCGATCGCCAGATTTTCCTATGTCTCCATATATTCATTTGTAACCTGTATTGGTGGATCGCCAGATTTTTCCTGTGACATATATTCATTTGTAACCTGTATTGGTGGATCGTCAGATAATTGTTCTGTATCTAAAATATTCATCAAGGAACTCACTGAATAACTTTCTTGATCATCAATTGTTTCGTTTACGATTGCAGAATCACCAAACATTTTTTCAAGTTGACTTTCAATAATGGCATCTTCAGGAAGATTTAGATCATCTGCTGGACTGCTTACAGGTGCCGTCTGATAATACGCGTCATCATCTGAGTCAAGATCAGATAAATCTGACGTATTGTCTACTATGACCTCTAATTGCAGGGTGCTTATAATTTTCTTAGTTTTCTTCCTCATTGTTTTCAGATTCTACCTATAAATAAATGAAATGATACAGAAAAATCACACAAAATGCCTTACAGAATGAAAATTTTATTTTGATACATACGTGCCTTAAATAAATTATTGGTCTTCACTTCATAGCAAGGCGAAGACTAATCATGTATCTAAGATACGTACATACATTTTCAAAGTTGAGTAATAATAAGTAATTCAACATCGACTTCAAAAGAATAGGTAGCAGTTAATAAAAAAAAATTACACACTTTTATGAAATTTTGACAAACATCAAACCTTAATTGAAAGAATAAAATTACGTACATATATACGAATCAAACTGATAATCTCCTTTTTTTGAAGTCGGAAATTATGTTAAGGTTATTGGGCAAGGGGAATTATTTTTCCACTTTGTTTTTCAAACAATTTTACGTAGATATTACTAGATTTAAATAGAAAACTATATAAAATAGCGCTAGGATAGTCTCTTTACGCAAAACAAAAACCATAATCTACTTACTGGATTTTTTGTAAAGAATTTTCGTTTTTTTCTCTTGAATGATCGAGAACAACCGTTTTTTGCTCACTACAACGTCACGACTTTGACTTTGACATAGAAATTTAGGCGCGATTTGACATTATTATCGTGAGTGTTGCCACTAAAAAAATTTAAAACATCCATATAACAGCAAAGTATTGGCTGCGTTCACGATATTGTTTATCTTATAAGAAAAAAAATAATTTAAAAGAGATCCATGTGGGAAATAATATCCCTTTGCCTTATGAAGGGTTAATTAAAGGTTTAATTTGTAATTTTTCAATAAGTAGGATTTCCGTTTCCGCATCCGTTTCTGTTTCCGTTTCCAAATTAAAAAGGGCCAATTCCTTGTGGACACTGGAAGTGACGTGTGTGTGTTTCCGCGTACTGCACTTCGCGAACGACGGAGTAAGACATCTTATCAATTATCAGCAACTAATGGTAGTGCAATTGATACTTACGGGTATTTACAACTTAATTTAAATTTAAATTTACGACGTAATGTTCCATGGAATTTTATTGTTGCCGACGTAAATAAAGCCATAATAGGAGTAGATTTTCTTAGTCACTATAACCTAATTGTAGACGTTAAAAACAAACGATTAATTGATTATTTAACATCCTTGTCGACAATTGCTTTTATTGCTAAAAATGTAAATAATACTAATTCTGTTAAGGTTCCTATTGGCGTCACACGATACCACACTATTTTAGCTAAATATCCGGAAATAACACGACCAGCGGGCACACACCTCTGCACATAACACCGTACACTACATTCGCACTACGCCTGGACCTCCCATATCCTGCCCTCCTCGCAGGTTAGCTCCTGACAGGCTTGCAATAGCTAAGAAAGAATTTGAGCTGATGCTGAGCAACGGAACGGCGCGTCCTTCTAAGAGCTCCTGGGCATCTCCTTTACATTTGGCTCCCAAAAAAGACAATGAGTGGCGCCCCTGCGGAGACTACAGGCTACTCAACGCACGCACCATACCGGATAAGTACCCAATCAGACACATTCATGATTTATCGCACAACATATCAGGATGCACCGTATTCTCGACTATCGACCTTGTCAAAGCGTACAACCAGATCCCTATCTTTGAGGATGACATCCAGAAAACGGCAATCACCACACCGTTTGGTTTGTAAGAGTTCCCATGCATGACCTTCGGGCTCCGGAACTCAGCACAAACGTTCCAAAGGTTTGTAGATGAAATTACTAGAGGACTGGATTTCTGTTACTGTTACTTAGATGACTTCTTAGTATTTTCTGGAAGTGCTACTGAGCACAAACATCACCTCAATATTCTCTTTGGCCGAATGAAGCAGTACGGAGTACTGGTGAACACCTCTAAGTGTGTATTTGGTTCATCACAGGTACAGTTTCTGGGGTACCACATCTCACCTGCAGGCACTAAGCCACTTGAGTGAAAAGTTCAAGCCATTAAAGAATTCCCTAAGCCCCGAACAGTCAAAGCGCTCAGACGTTATTTGGGCATGCTTAATTTCTATAGGCGGTTCTTACCAGAAGCCGCAAAAATTCAAGCACCCTTAAACGCCTTATTAACTGGTTCGGTGAAGGCTTCACAAGCTATAGACCTGACAGGCGACGCTCTAACAGCATTTGAGCAGTCCAAGGACAGTCTTTGCAATGCTGCCTTATTAGCACACCCCGATTGCCAAGCAAAGTTAGCTCTGGTAACGGATGCATCAGACTTAGCATTGGGTGCTGTACTGCAGCAGTACAAAGATGATTCCTGGCAGCCATTAGCATTCTTTTCGCAAAAGCTTAGCCCATCACAACAGAAGTACTCACCCTACGACCGTGAGTTGCTGGCCATATAAGAAGGCATTAAGTATTTTCGCCACATGCTCGAGGCACGCCACTTCAGTCTATACTAACCATAGGCCTTTATGTTATGCATTCCATGTAAGGAAAAGTAACTGTTCGCCGCGTCAGTATAGACATCTAGATTTTGCGTCTCAATTTACAAGCGACATTCAGCACATATCCGGCAAGGATAATATCGATGGTGATACTCTGTCGCGCGTGGATGAAATACAGCAGCCGGTGGATTTTAAAGAGCTCGCTAAAGCTCAGTCCACAAATTCTGAGCTATCACAACTTCTAGGCGATGAATCATCACTTCGCATTATTAAAGTTAAAGAGCCCGATAGCAAAGTCAAAATTTTTTGCGACATAAGTTTAGGCATACCAAGACCTTTCGTTCCCAAAAGTTTTCGAAAAGCTATTTTTGACAGTCTACATTCTTTTAGTCACCCTGGCGCAAACGCTACTGCTAAGCTGGTAGCACAGCGATTCGTTTGGCCAGGAGTCAGAAAAGACTGCCGAGAATGGTCTCGTACGTGCTTAGCCTGCCAGCGCTCTAAGATAAACCGCCATGTGTCAGCACCTTTAGGCACATACGATTTACCACGAGCCAGGTTTTCCTATGTGCATATCGATCTTATTGGTCCACTCCCATACTCGAATGATTTCCGCTACTGCTTAACAGCAGTTGACCGTTTCACGAGATGGGCAGAAGTTATCCCCATAGCGGACATTACAGCCGAAACTGTAGCGAAGGCACTCCTATCATGTTGGATCGCCAGATTTGGTTGTCCAACTGACATAGTGACGGACCGTGGACGGCAGTTCGAATCCGATTTATTTAATTATCTTTCGAAAATAATCGAATTCAAACACCGCAGAACCACAGCTTACCATCCCGCTTCTAATGGCCTAGTGGAAAGATTCCACCGACAGCTGAAGACAGCTATTACATGTCACGCTGATAGCAACTGGATGGAATCTTTACCTCTAGTACTATTGGGCATGAGAAGCGCATTTAAAGCTGATCTGCAGTGTTCCTTAGCAGAACTCGTCTACGGCGAGCCTTTAAGACTCCCAGGCGAATTTTTCGAAAGCACAGTAGGCACCACAACTGACATTACAGATTTTACTGCACGAATTCGTTCAGTTTGTGAGAAACTGCAGCCTCGTCCCGCATCACGGCATAATAAAAATAAAATATTTATATATAAGGATTTCGCTAATTCCAGCCACGTATTCCTTAGGGAAGACCGGCTGAAAAGCACCTTCCATCCTGCATATTCCGGTCCACATGAAGTGACCGAAAGAGGTGATAAAGTATTTAAGATCATCGTTAAAGGTAAACAGATAACAGTTTCTATAGACCGTCTGAAACCGGCCTATATGCTGAACACCGCTCCGCCTTGCGACGTCACTCCTGATTGCAGCCCCAAAGTCATGGACGACAGTTTAGAAAACCGGAAAACTACAAGGTCCGGTAGGCATGTCAGATTTCCTGATTTTTATCGACCGTAGGCACGGCCTCTGGGGGGGAGTGATGTGGGGATTCCACTACATTATTACACACACCTCATATATACACACAGAAACACAGTAACACTTACACATAAACACATACAACACCTACAGTAAACGCAATTAATTATATATTCTGTAACCATTAGAGAACAAGCATTTAACACATTGGGACCATTGTGGATCGACCTTTTTCTAGACGACAACGAAAGAGCGGCCGGGGATTGAACCGCGGCGCTCGCGCATATTCTGTTGTATCAAGTTAGTTACCTGCTGATCGCCTCTGCGACTAGACCCCTGTAACACCTTTGCGTCCGCGGCTAATCACGTACAGTTTATTTGTTAATGCTATCTCTTACTTTCTTGCTTGTGCTATTCTTTGTAACTATTATTGTGCTCGCTTCCCTTCAGACTCTTTATTGTAGTGTGCTTTGTGTCGTGGACTATTAAAAGACTGTGAACGTAAATATAAACTGTTTTCTTCACTGAACCTACGACGCCTTACGCCATTTTGACCTACAGGCTGCCTGCCTCCAGCATTACATTTGCCTACTTTGTGTTTCCATTTTTAATTTTGTGATTGTAAATATATATATATATATATATATATATATATATATATATATATATATATATATATATATATATATATATATATTTATATAAACAAATAAAATAGGTACTTAATGAATTGAACAGAAAGTGTTCAATAAAAATGCGTGTTGTTTTTTGATTGGTAGATTTAATTAAAAAACCATGTTTATATTTGAATAACATATTATCGGTCTTATAAATTTGCGAGCGAAAAATATTTGCGCCTCGGCTGAGACGTACCAAAAGCTTTATTATTAAATTTTTAAGTATAAAAAATCCGCATTCTAATATAAATCTTAATTAAAAATTGTTTTGGGAAACATGGGCAAGGTGGAGAAAAAGAATATCTTTTACTTGGTTATACCTGCAGCTACTTTACAATTTATATGTTTGGTTTTAAACGAAGTTCGGAATATTTCCTCCATTTTTTTAATATATTTCACAAAATCATCACTGCGGCACAGTCTCGACTGTCTGCATGCCGAGCGCATGCCGAGATCGAGGCGCGTAGGCATAGCTCTCGCTTCGTCCGTTTGT